GCCCGCTCTCAACTGCTTCTCCAAGGAAATATGCCTTTCTCAGGATGTTAACAGTATATCTTCGGATTGTTATTATTACGATCAAACATAGCTCTAGGCACATATTTCAGGATACCAATGGCTGTTGCTGCGAATTCAGTGCTAACTGGGTAAAGAAAAGACCGCGATGCATTGAAGACATTCAGCGCCTCGCTCATTCGTCTTTCCAGGATTTTTGCTATTTCCAGTACAGAATCAGAGAACGTATGTTGCTATTCGTCATGCATAATGAAGTTAATGAGTAGTGGAGAAGACATGAATTATTAAATGAGATAGGAGGCCAAGTGAGGTGAAAGGTTAAGGGATTTGCGATCTCTTAAGTGGGATTGAAGTGGATAATTGCGATACCTTTATAACTGTTCTTCGTCTGAAGTACATCCATTGCAGTGGAGGCGAAATCGTTCAACTCAAGTGGCCGCAACTCATTTGAGAATTTTGGTTGAAACTGCAAGAGTTAACATTGGCAAAACTGTTGAAAATTTCTTTTAAAACAGCGAAGTAGTTCACCTCCTCCTCTCCTTTTCTCCCTACCCACGGCCACGTTTTTTCTTTTGTGACACACTGTTTTATCTGCCAAGAATATTAAAACCCTCCGAGCAGTTAGTGTTATTGCGGTGAGTCGGAACATGAATATTAATTACGTTCCATGAGGTGAAGCATACGTCGGCGTCAAAAATGAACGGTCGACATAGAAAGTGGATGGAAATAGCGAAGCTGGAACGCTAACAGTTGTAGTTTAGATGCTTGATTTACAAAAACCGGTTGTGTTATTTAGCAATTCTAACAAAAGTGGTAGGTTTAAAAATCTCAAATAGAAAGTTTAAAATTTTTCATGAAAATGCATGTTCCAAAAAGGGACCGAGCGGTCTGATAATAGAAAGCTGCTCATAGTGCGTAAAAACTAAAGTTAAATGAAAAGTATATTTTAAAAAACTGATTAATTTTTACAGTTGTTGCAAGTCGTAGTAATGGTCCTCCTTTCATGCTAAATGGGTGTCAAAGCCATCAACGAAAGGGAAAAATGAAGAAAACTGTAATGGAACAATTTCATGCATGCTCCCTTCAGAGCATTCGGCAGTGTTAAATAACTGGCCAACGCACGGGCTGCCCGTACGAAGATGTGTTTTTTGCAAAGTTCCTCGCAATTTTTGTCATTACCGGCATCGGTTTTCTCGGCAAATGCTTCAAGCTAAACAAATTAAGACTGGTTGCCAGAACTGGCAGGAAACACTTCCTTGAAATTCCAGCTTTCTAGCTTTCCTGGCTCCTGAGTTAGCAACTTACTGGAAAAATTTTCACGGGCCCGCACGCCGGTACGACGCATGCCCGATGTCTGGGTTTGAGCTCGTTGAGACTTACTTGAACAGGGGACATCTTCTTAAAACTACAGTCTTTTAGCTTTACAGATTTTCGAGTTATGAGCTTACCCAAGAAAAACTTTGGTGAACCCGTGCGTAGGTGCCACGCATGACCGGGGGCTGGGTTTGATCTCGCTGAGACTAATGTGGACGAGAAACATCCTCCTAATGTTACAGTCTTCTAGCATCTCGGGTCCGCGAGTTGCGAATTTGCGCGAGAAGAATTTCGGCGGGCCCGTAAGCGGGTACCACGCTTACCCGGGGATTGAGTTTGAGGTCATTGGTACCTACTTGAACGGGGAACATTCCCTTAAAATTTCAGCTCTCTAGCTTTTCTGGTTCGCAAGTTAGCAGCTTACCCGTAAAAAACTTTGGCG